TATATAATTAATCCCACTTAAAGCGAGAGTGTTAGTCAACAATCGTTAGACATCTTGAACGTGCTACGAAACTCACGTTTAGGGCCATAAATACCCTGAGAACAGGTAACACAGGAATTTAATCCAGGAAAGGATAGTAAGACATATCTTTTGGATCGAAGTGCTAACCTAGGGGATAAAGACTGGGACAGGAGGCAGCGGTTTCAAACCAGGGAAAAAATTAGAGAGAAAGAAAAAAACGGGGAAGGAATTTCAGAAAAAAAGAAGGTAGAAGGGTGTAAACACAAGCTGATGCCAGACGTATGAGAAATATCTATATCTAAGAAATGTTATAGCTAATATACCTTTTTTTGGGGGGGGTACGATGACATAGTCATTACCGAGCGTTAAATAATATATGTAACTATTTAATTAATTTCATTCTTACCAAAATACTTTCTTTTATCATTAAGAAGTAATAATTAAGTCAATGGAAATTTGGCAACACAGAGAGACAGATCAGTCTATGAATGACGCCGTAAGTTGTAGCTGCTGCTAATTCTGTTATTTTATAAACGGGTGGACCGGTAAGCCAGCGAGAGGCCTCTGTCAGATGACCAAAAGCTCCGGCCCGGGCTGGTTATCATATGACCAAGATCCGCGTCAGGAAATACTGCTGTACACTAACGGCCCCCTTCAAGGCAGGCGAAATTGCTGACCTGGAGAGTGTACAAAGAACTTTCACGGCACACATATGTACGATAAGGCACCTAAATTACTGGGAACGATTGAAGACCGTTGATCTGTATTCCCTGGATTATTATTATAATCAAGGGGAAGCTCTAAACCCGTAGGATTATACAGCGCCTGGGGGGGATGTGGAAGGCATTCAGGCTTAATTCGGGGAACTGGAGCACAGATCCAATTCCCTAAATCAAGAGCCCCTCACCAACATCAAGGAACCTTCCCTGAGGGGTGTATTCCCTGGGGCGCAGGCGAGAAAGCTACATGATAATATCACTTGGAAAATCCTAGAGGGATTAGTACCAAACTTGCACACGAAAATCACTCCCTATGAAAGCAAAAGACTCGGCAGGAGGTGCAATATTTTCCCTTTGAAAAGCAGGGGCGCCACGAGTACACTGAGAGACAACACAGTAAGTGTCAGGGGCCCAAGACTGCCTCCCAGCATACATAAGGGGGATTACCAATAGACCCCTGGCTGTCTTCAAGAAGGCACTGGACAGGCCTCTAAAGTCAGTACCTGACCAACCGGGCTGTGGTTCGTACGTCAGTTTGCGTGCGGCCAACAGTAACAGCCTGGTCTCAGACCGAGCCGAGGGGGCGTTGACCCCCGAAACCCTATCCAGGGAAACTCCAGGTTAAATCCTTGCAAGTCTTTGGTGTAAAAATATTCTCTCTCTCTCTCTCTCTCTCTCTCTCTCTCTCTCTCTCTCTCTCTCTCTCTCTCTCTCTCTCTCTCTCTCTCGCTCTCTCTCTCTCTCTCTCTCTCTCTTTCTCTTTCTCTCTCTTCCTCCCCTCTCTCTCCCCCTCTCTCTCTGTTTCGTGCTGGAAGCTGGACTTATTGTCAGCTTCCTGGTGATTGTGATTCTTATTAGTTGTTTTTTGCTCTTCGACCTTGTGAGGTTGTGGGGCGTTGAGCAGCGACTTGTCTCAGAGAGAGAAGGAGAGAGAGAGAGAGAGAGAGAGAGAAGAGAGAGAGAGAGAGAGAGAGAGAGAGAGAGAGTGGGGGGGAGGGACGACGGGATAAAGCAGTGAATGAACAAAAAGTCAATATGATTATGACACTAAAGGGTGAAAATGATTCAGTTGCAAAAGTTATCTCAACTGATTTCTAAAATTTTATCTACGATACGAACGCTTCACAAGCGTTTTAAAATATTATTGCGAGAATAGACAAATTCCCGGAAGATCAAGGCACTTACCATTGTCAGATTGTCGGATGACGGAGGCCAGCATCAACGTACAGACTCCAGGAGAATTTAGACAGACCTCAGTGGAATGTGGAATGATTGATGTGTATGAAAAAAAAGGTTGACGTTGCATGAAAAAAAGCTTGCAATCAGCCATAATGCGGTGCAGCGCGCGTGGAGAGCGGCACTGTGCCAGAATGAGCAAGAGGTATGGATAGGGAGGCACTCTGTTAGAAACTCATGTGTATGTTTAGTCTGGTGTTGGCACGCTAGTGCCAACACCACCACCTGCCAGTCACGCGTGTGGTGCCCTCGTGAGGTACATACCAAAACAAAGGCTTAATCACTTTTGCTTGTTGTGAGTCGACTAGCTTAGCCGCTTTTGTTGCAAGGGATGTGTCAGAGTTGGAAAATAATTGAATGCAGGTACAAGATGGCTGGAAATGTGCGCTTCAGAGATAGCAGGTTTAGTAACAAAGTCAACCATCTCTCAACTGAACATGCGTGACTCTGCACCCAGCAGCACACACACGACTAGGTACGCAACAGCACACATATACACGACTACATACGCAGCAGCACACACCTGGTAGTATGTAATTTATTGAGCTATTCCTGTAATTTAATGAGCATTGGAAAGCGAGCATTGCATATTTCAATGACCGGAAATGAATTCAAGAATACAGAACATCATCGTAAGCTCCCCTCTTCTATGTGCGGATTATTTGTGTATAAAGAAAGTCACATTAAACATACGTCTCAGTGACGTTTGTATTACCTACAACATTTAGCGAAAGGAGATAGAAATCTCGCCACTATCTATATAAAAAAAAATAGCTTTGAAACCAGTATCAGTGCGGGTAAAAAAGATCATTGTATATCGGTACTTGTAATGCACGATGCTGTTAGTGCATGGAAGGTGTTCAGACGACAGGAAGTGAGAAAGATATTTAGCTTACGGTGAAATCTTTATTGCGAAGTTACGTCTAGGACCGAACTTTTTCAAATATATTATGACATTTAGCATGGTCCTGGACGAAACGTTCAGCACCAGGATGGTGTTCATCGTTTTGAGTGCAACTTTAAAACGTGTAAAACCGTACAGCGAAAGTCTGTGTGTAAGATCCGCGGAGTGATGGACGGACATAACTTGCAAACCGTATCTGGATCGTCGTATAAAAATACATACATTACATACACCGAAATGTTTGGATAGTTTAGTCCATTTTTCAGAATAACTATGCAAATTACAAGTTAGTGTGAGTATATTTTAAATTTTTTCACGAATTTAGAAATGTAGATAAAAAAACAAGATAACACCTGAATATAAGTGATGCCATACCAGACTCCACATAGATACTTCGCTCAGGAAAGATGCAAGAAGTAGCTAAATCCAAGATGACCTAACTACTGAAGAAGGCCAAGACTAAGAAGTGTGACGGAGGAGGCAGAGTGCATATGACAACTTTAATCTAGTTTGAAGTAGATTAAAGAATTAGATAAGTATAATAGAGACGTCGTAACTAAGCCCTGTAAAAGATAGGGTCAAGTTTTGAATGGTTTTGCGCATTCTGACACCCTGGTTATAGTGGAATAATGGCACAAATGGAACATTTGGAACTTTCCTATATATATATATATATATATATATATATATATATATATATTATATATATATATATATATATATATATATATATATATATGTATGTATACATATTTTTTTTTTTTTTTTGCTCTTTACGTTGGGCTGAGAAAATTCAAAATAAGCCAAGCGTCTCATAATAAAAAATCAAAAGCATTTGTATCTTTATTTCAATTTGTTAATACTGTCTTCCTCAATGTATTCCCATGAAACAATATTCAGAGGTTTGGGCAACCATTGAACAAAGGCACTTAAGATGAGCCTCAGTAACTTGAGAGACGGTGACAAATGATTTAGAAAAGTAACACGATAAATGAAAATGTTGCATCCTTCAACATGAGAGACTATATTAAGTAGAACATTGGTGCAACAACACAACAACGGTACATTTCCCGGCTAGCATCATTGCACAAATCTTCACCCATTAATCATTCTCCTGAGGCCTTCTGCAACACACTTGCTATTGCAATGTGTAGAACTCTACGACACAAGTTGCATTCCTACATACATATAATTTAATGATATTATGAAACCAGTTTTGGACAAGACAATTCTGAGACACACGCACCTGTCTTGTAACACCGTATTACAGGATGGATATAAATTCTCTGGAAAATGTACAAAGGAGGATGACAAAGTTGATCCCATGTATCAGAAACCTTCCCTATGAGGATAGACTAAGGGCCCTGAATCTGCACTCTCTAGAAAGACGTAGAATTAGGGGGGATATGATTGAGGTGTATAAATGGAAGACAGGAATAAATAAAGGGGATGTAAATAGTGTGCTGAAAATATCTAGCCTAGACAGGACTCGCAGCAATGGTTTTAAGTTGGAAAAATTCAGATTCAGGAAGGATATAGGAAAGTACTGGTTTGGTAATAGAGTTGTGGATGAGTGGAACAAACTCCCGAGTACAGTTATAGAGGCCACAACGTTGTGTAGCTTTAAAAATAGGTTGGATAAATACATGAGTGGATGTGGGTGGGTGTGAGTTGGACCTGATAGCTTGTGCTACCAAGTCGGTTGCCGTGTTCCTCCCTTAAGTCAATGTGACCTGACCTGACAAGGTTGTTTGGTGCATTGGCTTAAGCCGGTAGGAGACTTGGACCTGCCTCGCATGGGCCAGTAGGCCTTCTGCAGTGTTCCTTCGTTCTTATGTTCTTATAAAACACGCACTTGAAAAGAGCGTGCAGGTAATTTTTACGTGCAAAAAAAGAGGGGAATTACCAGGGAGAACAATGCTAAACAATTTTGTGAGATCCTGGTATCATATATATATATATATATATATATATATATATATATATATTATATATATATATATATATATATATATATATATTATAATGCAGGCTTTTATATATTTAATTTCGTTAGATTATATTTTTGAATATTCAAAATTCTATTACGTGTATTCATATGCATTGTTTCTTCCCAACAGATGACCATTATGACCACCTGTACCATCCTGTGTGTCCTGGTGCTGGCTTGTGCTGGTGAGTTGCTGCCGCGCGTAGACGCTGGCAGGTAGAAGGAAAGGTAGAGAGGTGGGAGGGAGGTAGAAGGAAAGGTAGAGAGGTGGGAGGGAGGTAGAAGGAAAGGTAGAGAGTTGGGAGGGAGGTAGAAGGAAATGTAGATAGGTGGGAAGGAGGTAGAAGAAGTAAGAGAAGATGGGAGGTAAGTAAAAGCAGACTTAGAGACCATGGAGGGGACAGAAAGACAGGAATGACGAGCAGTGTGGCGAGGAATGACGAGCAGTGTGGTGAGGAATGACGAGCAGTGTGGTGAGGAATGACGAGCAGTGTGGTGAGGAATGACGAGCAGTGTGGTGAGGAATGACGAGCAGTGTGGTGAGGAATGACGAGCAGTGTGGTGAGGAATGACGAGCAGTGTGGTGAGGAATGACGAGCAGTGTGGTGAGGAATGACGAGCAGTGTGGTGAGGAATGACGAGCAGTGTGGTGAGGAATGACGAGCAGTGTGGTGAGGAATGACGAGCAGTGTGGTGAGGAATGACGAGCAGTGTGGTGAGGAATGACGAGCAGTGTGGTGAGGAATGACGAGCAGTGTGGTGAGGAATGACGAGCAGTGTGGTGAGGAATGACGAGCAGTGTGGTGAGGAATGACGAGCAGTGTGGTGAGGAATGACGAGCAGTGTGGTGAGGAATGACGAGCAGTGTGGTGAGGAATGACGAGCAGTGTGGTGAGGAATGACGAGCAGTGTGGTGAGAAATGACGAGCAGTGTGGTGAGGAATGACGAGCAGTGTGGTGAGGAATGACGAGCAGTGTGGTGAGGAATGACGAGCAGTGTGGTGAGGAATGACGAGCAGTGTGGTGAGGAATGACGAGCAGTGTGCTGAGGAATGACGAGCAGTGTGGTGAGGAATGACGAGCAGTGTGGTGAGGAATGACGAGCAGTGTGCTGAGGAATGACGAGCAGTGTAGTTTAGTGCAGTTAAAGTAGACTGAAACTGCTGAAAGATCTAACCTGCGAAAATAAAATTTAAATGTATAAATTTAGATTTCAAAAATATTCGAGAAATATTAAAATAATAATAATAATAATAATATCATTATCATTATTATTATTATTATTATTATCATCATCATCATCATCATCATCATCATTACTGATTATTAATGAGTGTTGGTGCACAGGTACATTGAGCACTGCACAGGAGACCAAGTGCATAGGAGATGATTTCAACTGTGGCGACAAATGCATTCCTTCTTCCTTCGTCTGTGATGGCCACTTCGACTGTGGCAACGGCAAGGATGAGGTGAGTGACGGACAGAACCTGGGAGGACGAGAGAGTGGGAGAAGAAGAATGGGAGGAGATGGATCTGGTAGAGGACATGTGAGGAGGAAATGACATACGAGGAGGCGAGGACGTGCGGGAAGAGGACACAGGAAAAAAATACATGAATGTTGGAATACGGGACAAGGAATGGGTTAAAAGGAAGAGAAGGGTACGGGAGAAGGGGGCGGAATTGGAAATGAGACTTGAGTACGAGAGGGAGGCATAAGGGAGAGGATAAAAAAAAATGTTTAATTGAGAAGGAGAAATAAGGAATGGAATAGGAAAAGAATGTGTTTTATAGGACGATAGAGAAGAGACATGAAGGAGGATGGAAATAAAGGGAGTTGCAGCCACCCCAGGAACATTATTCCAAGTACTCTTAATAATTTAATACAATGAAGTAACGTCAGGTAAACTAATAAATATTAGAAAAATGAGTTAAAAAACAACATGGAACAATAATAGAAAATTAATAATTTATAAAAGTCTTAGTGTTAGAATTACCGAGTTGATAGATCAGTCAACTGTGTCTTATCAAGCATATAATTATAAAGTTCGTGTGTGAATTATGAATAGAAAAATACTATATATATACTGACAGGTATGTTTCCTTTAGTTTATATATGATTAAAAGGATTAAATTGTTCTTGTCGTGTGGTGAAAATGTTAGGTGTAGCTTTAATGACCCTCATGTAATCGATAGGCTTTAAACACATTAACCAACCAAAACAAATAACGGGGAAAAATGTTAACCTTAGATATTTTTAATTTATGCTAGCCCATGACAACTAAACTTATCGGGTCATCCTTCTCATATCAGGTGAACTGCAAGAAGGTGTCTGCAGCTGCAGCCCCACCCGTTGCTTTCCGTGACGACGCACCAACCTTCCCTCTGGAGTTCGGTGATTAACCTTCCTGAAGAGGAGCTCAGTGATGCTGCGGGAAGTGTGGAGCTTCACTTGTGCGGAAGGGGCGTGTGTGGAGATGCTGGAGTTGGGTGGGTGTCTGTGGACAAGAGAAAAGACCGCAAAAGAAATTTAGACTCGTGGGATACTGAGAGGAAGTGTGAAGAATGGTTAAAAGTTGGGCGGCTTGTATGAGGTGGGAGAAGAAGTTATTAAGGAAACGTTATAGTTGATGGCTCCTGGAAGCAATATGATGCTATTGTCTAAATGTGTGGTGAGATTAGTGGTACAATTAGCAGTAACATTGTCAAGGGATGCTGTCCTGGAGGAGGTTACGTCTCGAGGTCAACATAACACAACTGAGCCCCAGAGAAGTATTAGCTGGAAAATCAAAAGTTACGTTAACTACCGCAGCGGAAAATGTGTATATAGAGCGCGCACACACACACACACACACACACACACACACACACACACACACACACACACACACACACACACACACACACACACAAACACACACACACAACATAATCACTGCAGATCTGTTCATTAAATTTTCCAGCGCTCTTGCTGTCTCTCTGTCATATTACAATACATCTCACAACGTTTTCAAAACATGCAAGAAGTGCCGCCTTCTCCCGGGTATAAAATTGTCTAAGTATTGACTCTGTTAGCCACAAATTCCTTCCTGGAGAAGGAACGACAGTGCAACGCTGTGAGGTCCATCATCTTTGTGTCAAATATAGTAATACATTTTTTTATTGTAAATATAACGTTTTTAAATACCCTTGGTTCATGTGTGTAGCTGAGGTGCTAACTGCTTGCTGGAGCCAGAAGATCATGTTTGTCGCGTGCACATGGATAATAATGTTGAAAAGTCAAGAGGTCGTGTTTAACATGTGATATGGTTAATAAGGTTAACAGTCTTCGAGACTGTTAACCTTATTAACCTGAATATTTTTATCATGTAAGATTGAGTATGAATCTTTATCCTGAAATATTCGTCCATACTGAAACCAAATACAGCATGAACAGTAATTAAATTAGGGGAATTACTTCTCCTTTGTTAAACGGAACCATAAATACTTCCTACTAAGGACATGGTGAGTAGAAGTCCCTCACATTACTTGCTTCTGTAGAGGAGTGAAGAACAGAGAAGCACTACCGTAGGTTCACTGGTACACATGCACACCAGACATTAGTCTCAACACCCAATGGAAATAAGTCACTCTGGCTTTTTTGGGTTATACTAGGTTCTCTACACATATGCTGCTATGTATGATAATCTATGTAACTGTATTTGTGTATACGTGAATAAGCTTACTTACTACTAACCTACCCAACTCTTGGTTTGGTTGGTATTATCCTCACCTCACACAACTGAGAGTCCAGGATCGACCCTCCGGCACTAGGGAAACATTGGGCATCATTTTCTTACACCAGCTGCCCCTGTTTACCTAGAAGTAGGTACCTGGGTGTTAAGCGGCTGTTGTGACTCGCCAGAAATGCTCTGCATAACCAGGGGCTTTCTGTATAGTAAGCCAGTGATCTCAGTTACGCCTGTATCATGTACTTGTAGTAATAAAGATTATTATTATTATTATTGGTAGTACTAGCAGTAGTATCCTCACACATTGATCAAACTTATTTTAAGGTCTACGATGTAATTTGTATGATTATTACGAATAAATAGTCAATACCGTGACTGGAACAATACACAAATAACCCGCACATACGAGACTGAATCTTAGTGCGACGTTCTGGTCAGACTTGCACCATTAACCAGACACACAGAAGCGCGAAGGAAAGGGAACCAGAAGGGAGAATGAGAGGAAGTATAATAGAAGAAGTAGTAATAGTAGTAGTAGTAGTAACAGTATTAAGTAGTGCAATAGTAGAAGAGTTGGTAATAAGTAGTGGCGATGAGACAAGAGTCAGAGAGTGGAGCGAGGCAATAGTAATAATAGTAGTAGTAGTTTGGAGGTAGTTAAAGTACGAGAAAAAAAAAGAAAACAGCACTTCAGGAGAGCTAATGGCCAACGAGGGGAAAAAAAATGCAGGAATAAAACTCAGGACAGAACCCACTTTGGCAGACGAAAGGAAGGGCAAAGAAAATATAGAAAAGGAGAAGAGGCGAGGAGAGGAGGAGATAAAGATCAGTTGAAGTCACGAGTGTTCCCAAGTTGGAGTATTTAACAAATAATGAGATGTTTCAACAAGGCGGCGTCTATACATAAGTGCTTTTTTCCTAAGATACGTTATTAAATACTGTGGCATGCAAAGAGTACGTAACCTTTATTCGGCGCATGTACACACCCTCATTTACAGGCTATCTCCCCCAACCAGCGAACCAGGTTGCTAAGAGTTGGTGATGGGGCCCCGTCGTTCAACTAGTGACCAGGTTCTAGCCAATAAGAAGGTGGGATTGGCAATCGCAGAGGTTATGTGGATACCGCTCTCCTGTCTGCCCTTGTCATTCCCATTCTAGAGCTGGTTGAAGCACGGTCTGCTATCTTGTGGCTTCTATTTCTGCCTTGCTTACCGTGGAGTGCACTATACTTATCACTGTACATAGTGTACATATTGCTGTTATAAATTGGTGAAGGATAATATAAGTCTAAACTTTTTCTACTGTGTTTATTTGCTCCCATTACACCTGGGATAACAGGCCTTTGAAATCCTAGGTTGTAATAAATACTCAAACAACACTACTTACTCTGTACTTATATCTAATATATCCTTTGTGGGGAATTACAGTGAGTGGGGTCACGGCTGAGTCGGGTTAGTGGTCCCTTGTTTCAGTCGTGAATTCAGTCTGAAGCTGCCGCTCCACTCCAGGGTAACTTCAGCCAATGTGTACTAACCTTTATTCCTCTCAATAGGCAGTGCGATTGTGACACGCAGCTGATATGGTAACCTCTGGTCGTGCGAGTGCCACCTCTACACGTGTACATCTGAATGCATTCACCATTACTCACGTGGTAGTGTTGGGATGGGGGGGTCCTGAGAATACCTGTGTGAGTCACGCAACTGCCTGCTCCAGCTAGTGAGACCCTTGCCTGTGGTGATCATATGTTGTACGAATGTGTTCACCACACAAGGACACAGAGGAGAAGGGTGCCCTTCTCATAGTTGAATTGTGACTGTCCGCTGTTGTCTCAGTCTACCCCGTAGGCACTCAAACTGGCGGGCTGAAGGTGCCTGAGTCGTTATTGTTTATGGGAAGTGTAATTACTGTCTTAAGCTAAACGACTATCTCTAACTTAATTTAAATATGTGTAGTAGTAATGTAGCAATTGTAGTGTATAGTTAGCCTAAGAGGCTAATTCTTAGAATTAAGTATATACAGAATTGACACCTCTTTAGGCGTCCCCCCCCTCCCTAAATTTCCCCACCTGGAGGGTGGGCATAACGGTTCTGGAAAATACCGATGTTTTCCACATCCTTACTCTACCTATGGCGTCTGTGTATGGGGATCTACTATAATAAGTTATTTAAAGCCAACAATAATTCTACACATATGCAACAGTTAGGTATCTTTATTTCGAAACGTTTCGCCTACACAGTAGGCTTCTTCAGTCGAGTACAGAAAAGTTGATAGAAGCAGAAGATACTTGAAGACGATGTAATCAGTCCATCACCCTTAGAGATACCTAACTGTTGCATATGTGTCTTACCTATCAACCTGTCGGTATTTTATACCATTTTAATGTTCAATCTGTCAGACACTGCAACACAAGGGTATCTTGGTACAGACCTGCAATCAACTTCGACAACCTCTACTAGTGAGAACGGCTGGATTTGAGAGGGACCTGTCCTTCCAACATCTGAGTTCTTACCTCTCCTAGTTACCTACGTCTCACCTCCTGGCGCTATATAAGGTTCCATCCTGTCACTTCATCTCCATATTGTTTCATACCATGGAACAATGCTCTTCTCCAGACTGAGGGACTGACCACCTCAAAACTTTAAGGGTGATGGACTGATTACATCGTCTTCAAGTATCTTCTGCTTCTATCAACTTTTCTGTACTCGACTGAAGAAGCCTACTGTGTAGGCGAAACGTTTCGAAATAAAGATACCTAACTGTTGCATATGTGTCTTACCTAACAACCTGTCGGTATTTTATACCATTTTAATGTTCAATAATTCTACAAAAAGTGTCTGAACGATTAACCAGTCTCGTGCCAGGCACCACACTCCACCACTCTTAAAAAAATTAAACTTTCTCAACATGTATAATATTCACTCGTACTACTGTGCATATAGTATACATAGACAGTTAGTTCAAATATAAACCCTACTCTGAAATTCTTCCAGGAGAGCTGTCGCGGAACAAAAAAAAAAAAAATCTCTTTGATATCCACCGTGTTCAACTCAATTTGAATAAAAACTCAATGTGAATAAACGGCTCCAAAATCTGGAAAAACTCTGCCTGAAGATTTCAAATATTCACCACATGTGACCTGCTTCGAAGCTAGTGTTAGAAAGCACCTCGTAACCTTCATATGATTCTCAACAACAATATACTGCAACAAAAGTTCTGAAACCTGTTTGTTGACTATGACTGTTGATGATTATGACTGCTGATGATTATGACTGCTGATGATTATGGCTGCTGATGATTATGACTGCTGATGATTATGACTGTTGATGATTATGACTGTTGATGATTATGGCTGCTGATGATTATGACTGCTGATGATTATGACTGCTGATGATTATGACTGCTGATGATTATGACTGTTGATGATTATGGCTGCTGATGATTATGACTGCTGATGATTATGACTGCTGATGATTATGACTGTTGATGATTATGACTGTTGATGATTATGACTGCTGATGATTATGACTGCTGATGATTATGACTGCTGATGATTATGACTGCTGATGATTATGACTGTTGATGATTATGACTGCTGATGATTATGACTGCTGATGATTATGACTGTTGATGATTATGACTGTTGATGATTATGACTGCTGATGATTATGACTGCTGATGATTATGACTGTTGATGATTATGACTGCTGATGATTATGACTGCTGATGATTATGACTGCTGATGATTATGACTGTTGATGATTATGACTGCTGATGATTATGACTGCTGATGATTATGACTGTTGATGATTATGACTGCTGATGATTATGACTGCTGATGATTATGACTGCTGATGATTATGACTGCTGATGATTATGACTGTTGATGATTATGACTGTTGATGATTATGGCTGCTGATGATTATGACTGCTGATGATTATGACTGCTGATGATTATGACTGTTGATGATTATGACTGCTGATGATTATGGCTGCTGATGATTATGACTGTTGATGATTATGACTGCTGATGATTATGACTGCTGATGATTATGACTGCTGATGATTATGACTGCTGATGATTATGACTGTTGATGATTATGACTGCTGATGATTATGACTGCTGATGATTATGACTGCTTCAAGAAAACAAGCCTTTATTTTATTCATATTAAGTCGAGTTCACTCTTACCAAAGAT